GCCTACAGATCAGGGGAGTGAGGGGAGGGTTTGAGATAGCATATAGATTTTTTTGGAGGGGCAGCAGCCTCTAGATTTGGGGCAGCAGCCTCTAGATTTAAGGAGGCAGCAGCCTCTAGATTTAGGGGGGCAGCCTATAGATTTTTGGGGTGGGGCAGCAGCCTATAGGTGGGGGGCAGCAGCCTATAGATTTTGGAGGGGGCAGCAGCCTATAGATTTTGGGGGGCAGCAGCCTATAGATTTGCAGGGTGGGGGCAGCAGCCTATAGATTTGGGGGGGCAGCAGCCTATAGATTTTGGGGGCAGCAGCCTATAGATTTTTGGGGTGGGGCAGCAGCCTATAGATTTGGGGGGCAGCAGCCTATAGATTTTGGGGTGGGGCAGCAAGCCTATAGATTTGAGGCAGCAGCCTATATATAGATTTTGGAGGGCAGCAGCCTATAGATTTTGGGGGGGCAGCAGCCTATAGATTTGGGGCGGGCGGCAGCAGCCTATAGATTAGGGGAGTGAGGCATGGGGGGGCAGCAGCCTATAGATTAGGGGAGTGAGCATGGGGGGGCAGCCTATAGATTAGGGAAGTGAGCATAGGCGTGCGCAGCCTATTGCATTAGGGTGTGCACCCTAAAGCACAAACACACGCCATGTGTATATGTATGTGTGTATATATATATATATATATATATATACACACACACTGCTGTGTGTGTGTGTGAGGGTGCTGTTAGTGTGCTGTGTATACACACACACTGCTGTGTGTGTGTGTGAGGGTGCTCTTAGTGTGCTGTGTGTGAGGGTGCTGTTTGTGAGGGAACTGGTAGTGTTCTGTGTGTGTGTGTGTGTGTGTGTGTGAGAGAGAGGGTGTTTGTGTGTGCGTGTTTGTTCGGGTCCTGTTAGTGTGCTGTTTGTGTGCGGGTGTTGTGTGTTTGTCAGGGTGCTGTTTGTATGAGAGTGTGCTGTTTGTGTGTGGGTGCTGTGTGGGTTTTGTGTGTTTGTGAGGATGCTGTTAGTGTGCTGGGTGTGTGTGGGTGTTGTGTGTGTGTGGGTGCTGTTTGTGGGCTGTGTGTGCTGTATGTGTGTGTGCTGTATGTTTGGGCAGAGGTGGGGGCAGACTAGTTAATATCCCAGTCCTGCTGCCTTCCCTGGTGGTTCAGTGGAGAGTGAACTCTAGCCCGGGTTCTCTGCTGCCTCTCTCCATGCTGCTGTGGACCGGTGAGGTAGAACTTTGATCTCCCCACCGGCCCATGGAGGCTTAGACCAGAGCCGCCGCTCGGATAGCGTCAGCTCTGCATGAGCTGACCGGAGAGATCCAGAGATCTCTCCTGCCGGTCTCAATCCATTGGCGTGCCGCGGGGATTAGGGTGTGCCCAGGCACAACCGACACACCCTACACACCCCGTGCGCACCCCTATAGAAGTGAGGGATGGGGGAGACAGCCTACATGCAGAGTCAGCAAGGAGCAGGAAGGTAAGGTAATAAAAGGAGAAGGAACAGAAATGAGCAGGAAGGGACATCAAGGAGCAGAAAGGGGCAGCAAGGAGCTGGAAGTAACAGCAAGGAGCACAAAAGGTAAAGTAGGAGAAGGAGCACAAAGGAACAGAAATGAACAGGAAGGGTCAGCAAGGAGCTGGAAGGTAAAGCAGCACAAAGGTAAAGTAGAAGGAGCAGAAAGGGTCAGAAATGAGCACAAAGGTAAAGTAGGAGAATGAGCAGGAAGGGCCTGCAAGGAGCAGGAAGGGGCAGCAAGGAGCAGAAAGGACAGCAAGGAGCAGAAAGGGACAGCAAGGAACACAAAGGTAAAGGGGCAGAAAGAATCAGAAGGAGCACAAAGGTAAAGTAGGAGAAAGAGCAGAAAGGGACAGCAAGGAGCACAAAGGTAAAGTAG